GTGTTTTTTTTTTTTTTTTTTTTTTTTTTTTTTTTTTTTTTTTAACCTTCGATTTGAGTATGAAACAATCGGTTTTTAAGGTTCTTAAAAAATGGAACAAAGCAAAAAGGCAGCATGATCGGTTGTCTGTTTGGTAACCTGGTAGAGGTACTAAGGGCTTGTCACTTTTTGAGGAACGCCCCCCAAAGAAATAAGTTTCCTTTTGGCTTCAAAACAAACAAACCTGAAAACGGGTGACCAAGACACTCATGGTGTCGCTGGATTTCAACAGGAGTAGGGACGCCGATTCGACTTTTGAGGTTTACCCATTAGGTATGCAACGACTGTTTTTCCATGCGGATGGATGCTTGGTGATCAGGACCATCTTGACCACCTGCGTGTTAGAAAAAAATCGGGATGAGTCTGACTGGATCTGGAAGCTGGGTTAGCCAGCTAGCCAGCTAACCAGTGCTCACTGAGGCCAGATTTCCAGCTGCTGATGGACAAAGTCTCTTGTGCTTCGGCCGCCTAGCATGCGGTTTTTGACTATCTCCAGGTAGACTTAAACCCTGAGGTTTTCCTGGGGCAATCCACCCCTGGGTTCAAGTCTACCTCGAGGTAGTCAAAAAATGGAACCCTGGCAGCATTTGCGGGCTTACCACTTTCTGGCGGGATTCGGAGCGAAGGTGACCTTGCCTGGCTTCAAAGTGCCTTGGCCAAGACCGGCGCGATTGATGAGATCTGCTGCAAGTTGTTGGACATTTGCCGGAGCGTCTACAGCAGCGACACTGGCAAAGACTCTTCGACGCACTTCACGACCCGGTTGGAGTTCTTTGGCTCGGTCACATTTTCCAGGTTTATGTTGAATTTGGGAGGGACTTAGGCAGCTCACTGAATTTCCCACAGTCCATGTTCATAGGTCGCCGCCGTTTGTTTTGACGGCTCATTTGCGTTGGAAGTTTGGGTACTTTTTTTGTTTTTCCTGAAAAGAAACCAAGAAGAGTACAACAATAGCACATTTGTTTGGGGTGTCCCTACAATGAAGCTCAGCCATGTAAAAGTCCTGATCATTGTAGACAATTTTCCCAGGACCCGGCCCGCGACATACGGTTGCACCTCATGCGCAACGACTTTATGCTGGATACGCAGAAGGCACCATCTGAAGGTGCAATGGTTCAGATTGAACTGACCCTTGAAGCCAATGCGACGTTTTCGGAGTTGGCCTTTTCACATCTTTCCACCTTGGTTTGCAGCCTGAAGAAAACCACAATGTGGAAAGACCGCTTATGTTGAACGTACCGAATCAGTCAGATTGCCGGTTCTGCAATGATTGATCTCTTGCATTGCACTTTGCGAAGGAACATGATGTCGGCTTCCTTTGCGACTCATGGACAAGACCTGACTGAAACACATCGCTACCTTCTCAAGCGGCTTTGCCGCAGATCTGAGCTTTGCGACTTGTGCCGGACACCAGGTTCGCCTGGTCAAGCCGTTTTTGAATGATTTTCAGTCCCACCCCCACCGTCCCACAGCCTCCGTCAGGGCTTGGATCCAGTTCCGGCCAACGTTGAGGTTTCGCGGGGCAGTTCTAAAGGTTGCCGTCTCACCAAGCGGATCTCCTTTCACCCGCGGCCAACTGCCGAACAAAGCAAAGTCGCCGACGGGTCCGATTTTGCAAGCTTTTTCATTTGGGGTCTGGGTTTTTGGGGTTCCAGGCTGCAAAATCAGCTCGTGTCCATGGCACCGAGGGGGTGGGTCCTCGGGCACCCGAGTCCTCAAGTCAGGGGAGGTCTTGGGCCTCCCGCGGAGCGAGGCCACGGAGGGCCTGGCGTGCGCCATGGCGCTGGCGCAGGAGGCGCGGGCGGGACCCGGGGGCCGCGTTTTTGGAGCGGGAGAAATGCCCCTAGGCCTGGAAGCTTGCGTGGCTGGTAGCTCGAAAAAAAATGTCCCTTGTGTAATGTGGGGGCGGGGCAAGAGATGCGGTTCTTTGGTGTGCTGACTCGCTTTTGGACCTTCTTTCCCCAGATAGCTGAAAGCTATAGGGGTTCTAACTTGTAATGCAGAAGGGAAAGTGATTTGCGAGATTGCCGGCTGGGTGCTAGGGGGCATGCAGTTTGGGGTGCTGGTGATGGTGCTGTTTGAGTCGTTGGTGATGCCGCGGGCGCATTTTATTTGGATTGGGGGTGCTAGGGTATGCAGTTTGCAGGTGCTGCTTTGGGGTGTGCAGGTGACAGTGCCGGCGCACTTTTGCAAGATTGGCGGTAGGGTGCTAGGCATGCAGTCTGGGGTGTTTGCGAAGGTGCTGCATTGGGATGGTGTTTGGGGTGCTCTTTGAGGTGCTGGTCATGGTGCTGGTGCATGTTTGCGAGATTGACGGCCGTGTGCTCTGGGAGTGCTGTTCGGGGTGATGGCGCGGATGGTTTTGGGGGGGTGGTGACGGGCGTGGCATTTTTGCGAGATTGACGGCTGGTGCAGGTGCTGTTTTGGGGGCCTGGTAACGGCCAGGTGTGTTTTTGCGAGATTCTTGTGCAGGTGCCACAATGCAATCGTTGGCATTTCGCTATCTAGGGTCTATGCTGGTGTATTTTTTTTTCAGGTGCCGGCAGTGGCCAAGCGGGTTGGCAAACCAGGGGTTCCTGTTGCTATTCGGGCAGGCAACCACGGTGGGGGTCAATGCTATCTAAAGCCCTTGCCTTGGCCAGATGCAAAACGCAGCCAACTCAATCAATCCCATGTTCAACGGCCACGTTGACCATTGACCTTTGTTCGGTGAGGCGTATCAAGCCCGGTGGCAAGCCACGGGGCTGCCCATGGTGGTTCTCTTCATCGCGCTGGAGGAGGAGAAGAACGAGCTCGACCACAGGTGTGGGATGAAAACAACAACACCTGAGCCACCTGCTCAAAACCGATTCGGGTAGCAAGGGACAATCCCCTTGCCACCAATTTCATACCGGGTTGTCATAGTGACTCACCTCGGAATGGTAGTGCCATGGCCAAAAACCTTGTGAACAAGAGCCCAAAACCCCCCCAGCTTCACCACATTTTGAACCCAAATCTCTCTACACCCAAGGATTCATCAAATCCCAAAGCCACACCTATGAGGTGAAAAGGACAAGTGAGCAGCGCCAACAACTAGATAAACTTATTGACTTTTGCTTCTGCCAACTTGACTACAAATATTGATATGGGTCTTACTATAGTCCTTAAAAAACCAAGTAGAACCTGCTTCAGATGGAACGAGTTGTTTGTCTCCTTGAATGCCATGCTGCGCAAGCACCTAACTCGCAAGCCAGCCCCCTTCCTCCTCAGTGGGTGTTTTTGGGTACCCACTTTCAGGTGGCTTTGACTGACAGGCCCAAATGGAAGCCAACCATTTCGGATTTGTCGCAGTGACACATCAATTGAATCGACATACACACGCAAAATGCAAGAATCATCACATCATAGTTCTTGTCCCCCCCAATTTGAGACCTATATTCCATGTTTGGTGCTAGACATGATTGCATATTTGTGTCCAACCGTTTTTGGGAGAGTCCAACTCTGAGCAGTCCGTTGCAACATCTCTATTTGCGTGCCTCTTCCGCTTGTTTGCAACGCTTTTTTGCAAGGAAGGTTCACAGGACCTTTCTCCGTCACCGGGGTGCGACCAAAATTGGCAGAAAGCAGACCAATCACAAAAGAGGAAGCTGATCTTCTGCACAAATCAAACCATCACCGGACTTGTGGTCTTTCTCAACCCCCCCGCCAATGGAATCAAATTCTCGAACCACCCCCGCCCCCCTCCCCCCAAAACAATAAAGATCAAGAGAAAGAGTAACATGAAATGATATACATCATTTGTAAAAAAAAGAAAAGCAAACCCACACACACACACACACAAAAAAAGCAACAACACAAAACGACAACAACAAAAAACGACAACAAACACCTCCGGACCACGTGAGCTCGTGGTGCAGGAAGTTGGAGCTGTCAGCTCTGGGCTTGGGCCTCATCCCGCTGCGCCGGAGCCTCCGCCAGCTGGCGGCGTCGTGCTCGCTGCGCCCGCTGAAGCCGCTGGACGCGACGGAGGCGGGTTGGGCGTGGGGGTGGGGTGGGTGAGGGGGGGGGTTGGTGGTTGGGGTGAGGGGTTGGGGTGAGGGGTTGGGGTGATGGGTTGGGGTTGCAGAAAAGCATGGGCGAGAAATTTGGTGGTTTGCTGGTTTGAAGGGGGGACACCAACCAGGATGCCAGAGGGCGCTGAAAGATGCAAACGTGGCAACATGTGAAGAGCTGAGCTGGCTTTGAAAACTGAGCCTTTTTGGACAGAGCTAGCTTTGATGCTTGGGAGGAAAGATGAGCCTTCTGGAGTCGTTTTTTGAGGATACCCCTTTTAGGCGTTGGTTTAAAGGGAAACCAAGACGGCGTTTCGGGGGGTCCGATTCCTAAAACAAGGACGTTCTGAACAAGGCCACTTCGCACCAGTTGGTAGGTGGTTTGTCCATTTGCGGTTTATATCCATCTCAAGTGGGCGTGAGTATGGAAGCCCCATTTTTTGGGATGCCGTGTTTGGGGTTTGTTTCTGACAACCAAAAAAGATCAACCCTCTAGTCCTCCTCTAGTGTTGTTTGGGGGTCCCAAGACAAGACCCGTATGAAATTACGTGGTCCACTTAGAATGACGAGCCACCCAACTTGGGCTTCAAGTGCCAGGCTGTGCGGGAGCCCAAGGCGCTCCTGGTGGATGGCTACGAGGTGAAGGGGGGGGGGCTGCAAGTTGTCTGTCACAGGACAGAAGCAGCCCATTGATGCGATCCGATTGTTGTATTTTTTCATTTTAGCCATATATTTCGAAATGTTTGGAAATCTCAATATTTGATTTTAGCAAATTTTGGGACAACGTTTCTTTTTTGCCGATTTCATTATTTTTGTCCCTCCCCCGAGATTTCTTTCTTGGATGAAGGCACAGGCACACTTTGTGGTTCGGGGGAGTCTGGGATGAAGGGAAGACCGGAGCTCACCAATGTAAAAGCAACTGCGGGGATGATGGGACCAAGTTTACTGTTGCTGTTGCCAGAGAATCTCATGCAGAATTTCGATTGGGTCGGACCTTTGAGATCAGAAATAGCCGGAGGCAGATGGTCTCTTACGCTTGTTTGAGGTTCTTTGTTTCTTGCTCTTCGTTCGTTTATGTATGTGCATAGCATTTCATTTTGCAGCTATAGGTGACCTTTTTGGTTGTTTCACACTCTACCAGGGCCATCTATTTTGGACAACTATGTGTGCACCTTTCCGGTGGCCCCGTTTTGCAAGTCTGCGCCAGGTTGCAGTGGCCTACTTCCGCTCGGGCTACTGGCCGCAGCACTTCGAGGGTGCTTGGGAGGCACAGATCCGTTGTTTTGGAAGCGCAGCGCATGGGGGGCTTTCCCGAAAGGAAAGCAGCCTTCCAAAGTCCTCCTGTCAGCTTCCACGATTGTTGGCCTGGGAAGTATGTGCTGGATCTTTCCTTGAAGGCCGTAGAGATCAAGCATGTACTCGATATGGCCGTTAATTTTAATAAGGCACCCTTTGGTGGGCATCATTTAGGTGGGGATTCATGTCCACCAATCACTTTTGAGGTGGTTCCGACTCGCCATATGAATGTGAAGGGAACCTAGAGGCGCTGTGCCCGGTTTATTCAATAAAGGCAACAGGACCGTCGAGCCGCGAAAAAGGCAACGGCCTTTTGTCGTTCGTGTGTCGTTTTATTTGGGTTACCCTTTCAGGGTTGCTTTATAAAGGGAAACCAAGAAAGAAACCAACGGTTCCGGGAATCTCAAATCTGAGACAAACCCAGAAGGTGTTTTGGCAGCTTGCTTTAGCCTGTCAGACGTGCACCTTCCAAATCGTTTATTACTCATCTATCACAGTCAGCCAAGAACTTGGACCTTAATTCCTTGTTTGGACTCGTCGAAGGCTTGTGATTTGATGTCTTTGTCATGTTGGTCGCAGGCTCCTTTGCCTCTTCCCGATCCTAGTCAGAGAAGGCAAAAATGGGACCCCCCCCCACAAAAAAGAAGAAGAGAAAATCGGACCCTCCCCCCAAAAAAAAAAACACCAAAAATCGGACACCCCCCCCCCTCACACCCCCCCCCCCCCCTAACCTCCATAAAACCCATCCAAAGCACCGCTGCCGTGGACCTGTGCCGCTAGGCGCGGCGGGTGGTGGAGCTGTCGGAGGCGGTGAAGTGCCCGTCGGCGCCGGCGCAGCTGGCGGGCATGAAGAAGGCGTCGGCAGGGGTCCTATTGCCGTCAACATTCAGTCCCCCCAGTGTCACATCGAGGGTAGGGATGAAGCGCAAACCACCCCTAATCCGCAGAGTTGATTAATCCCTGCCACTTTGTCCGAGTGGCCAAGAAAAAGCCCAGCGAAACAAGTCATGGGATTGTCTGTCCTATATTTTGCAACAAACTTCCAGACTCGAAACCCTGCTCTTCCACCCCGCCTTGGCTTTTTGACTCTCCACCTCGCCCAAACCGTTGGGATTGTCAGGCTACCCTCTAAAGAGGGCCGGGCTTCCCCCAGAAGAAAGATCAAACCATGGGGCCCCAAGCCGCCAAGTTGGGAAGAAGTTGAGATCGACCAAAGGATCAGCTTCCCTCTTGGATTGGAGAGTTTCCCAAGGCCCATCCAAGGAGGGCCGCGAAAATGTAGCGGTCGAGCGGTCGAGCGGTCAAATTTTTTCTGTCTCGGTCGACTCGGTCGACTCGGTCGCGACTCGCGACTCGCGACTCGCGACTCGCGACTCGGTCGAGAGGTGCAGGAGCTGCTCTGCCAAAGCTGCGAGCTCATGAAGTTCCTGCCGGAGGAGAAGGCGCAGATGGTGTCCAGGACGCTTTCCGGATGCAAGCTGCGCGCAACGAGCTCGTTCCTCTTTTGCCGGTCATGGGGTTCTCCCTTTTTTGTTGGGGGGGGGGTTTTCTCTTGGAGCTCCTTTTGACGTTTCCTTCCATTTGCTTAGGACACGATTTCATGTTCCGTTGGTCTTGTGACATATGTTTTGCCACGGGACTCAAGGCAAGTGGACGATTCCCGCTTGCGGCTGGGAAGGCTCAGGTGAGCCGCTGTCTCAACACCGATTCGTGAGGGAGAATTCTCTTGCCATAAATGGGTGCCTTCGAATTCCACCTTCTCAATTCTGCACATGGGTCAAAACTTTAGAGCCTCCGGCTCAGTCCGCCGACATTGTCCTCTCCCTTTTCTCCTTCTTCCTCTCTTCCTTGTCTCCCTTGTGTGTTCTGTCGTCCTCTCCCCCTCCCTCTGCTCCCATCCTCCCCATCCCCCCAAGCCTCTCTCTCCCTAATCTCCCTCGCTCGCATGTATGCACGCATGTACATATGTATGTATGCATGCATGCATGCATGCATGTAATGCATGCATGCATGCATGCATGCATGTATGTATGTATGTATGTATGTATGTATGTATGTAATGTATGTATGTATGTATGTATGTATGTATGTATGTATGTATGTATGTATGTATGTATGTATGTATGTATGTATGTATGAATGTATGTAGGTATGTATGTATGTATGTATGTATGTATGTATGTATGTATGTATGTATGTATGTATGTATGTATGTATGTATGTAATGTAAGTATGTATGTATGTATGTATGTATGTATGTATGTATGTATGTATGTATGTATGTATGTATGTATGTATGTATGTATGTATGTATGTATGTATGTATGTATGTATAGGTATGTATGTATGTATGTATGTATGTATGTATGTATGTATGTATGTATGTATGTATGTATGTATGTATGTATGTAATGTATGTATGTTATGTAATGTAATGTAATGTAATGTAATGTAATGTAATGTAATGTAATGTAATGTAATGTAATGTAAAGTAATGTAATGTAATGTAATGTAATGTAATGTAATGTAATGTAATGTAATGTAATGTAATGTAATGTAATGTAATGTAATGTAATGTACTGTAATGTAATGTAATGTAATGTAATGTAATGTAATGTAATGTAATGTAATGTAATGTAATGTAATGTAATGTAATGTATTGTAATGTAATGTAATGTAATGTAATGTAATGTAATGTAATGTAATGTAATGTAA